GTTGATCAGTCGGTCATTTGAGATTTCCATTCTAAGTTCAGACGTTTTTCTGTCAATTTATTTTTATTTATCGGAGTTAAATCAGTCATGTGAATTCTGGACACAAAAAGAATTCCACAATTGCCTTGCGCTTTCTCTTCCTCTACTCTATGATGCACTTCAGTTAATTTTTTTTTTGTTTAGAAATGATTACATCTGCAATAAGTATAGACTACAAACTCTCATCTGAGCAAACAATGCCAAAAATGTCAGAATAATTGCACGCCAACCAATATTTCCAATTCATACAAAGGCTACTTGGACTCCACAAGACACATAGTTCTACCAATATATCCACCAACATAAGGGTCTCCATTAATTAGGTGTATTAGCATTGGACCATATCCACAAGAGCTTATATCTGTTTCAAATTTGATCAGATGTTTCGAACCAACAAATAACGATTACAGGCTCATTTGTAATAATATTAAAAACGTTCGTTCCAATTTCTGAATATCGTCATTTCACTTAAAGATACTTGAAGCCGAAGAATCTGTCTCATGATCTGAGAAAATCGAGGCACACGTTTTTGAAAACAAGGCACCAATTCAATAAATGGTCTTACGACGGTCTCTTAATTGCACCGATTAAAAGGACGGACCTTTAACGTAAGGATTTTCTAGGAATTGGGTTTGATTTCTCCACCGCACACCTCATAGCTCAGATACTGCGTAGTAGGTTCAAGAAACCCACATTTGGTAACGTTAAATGGCAACCCTGGTACAGTCAACACATTTAATACAACCTTCAGCCTTCGGAAAGCCTTTTCTTCCGAGTTTGCCATGATTAACACGTCATCTATGTAAACTATCGCAAATAATCATGATAAATTCCAAACGCCTTAACAATTGCATGATGAAGGTAGAAGATGCACTCTTCAAACCAAACGGCACGGCAGACCAAACAGACGGCAACTCGTAATTTTAATTAATTATTTTTCAACAGAAACATTTTTCCTTCACAGGGTCTGACATAAGCGGCAAAGGCCACTGTCCGAAACCATTTTCGAATATTGCTTCCGATAGTCTAAGCACAACCTATCGTAGCACAGGGCTCGCCAATGGGAAGGCAGATGGGCAAACAACACTGCAATCAAACACATCTCTATTCCCATATTTTAGCCAATTTAGCTCCCAAATCAAAGAATAATTGGAAAGGGCTCACCCGATACTGTCACTGTTGAATCACACAAATCAACTCGCTTCTACATGCAGCTGCCGCTGCCGCTCGCAGCCGCTGATACCCATCTCGTGCACACAGATGCAATGTGACCACCGTTCTCACGCCTGAAGTGCGTCACTCCAGCTCTCCGCACTTCAGCCGCAGTTCCGCCAGTGTGCTGTTGTTGTTGTCTTCCATTCTTCCCCAAATTTTCTGGCCGACACTGATGACACTTGCAACCGTCCGGCTCAACACGCGACCAGTGCATTTGACTGCCTATCACGACTCCGGTGTCTCGCACCACGCGGCTGCGCAAGCCTTCGATGCGCCACTGAATTTAGTATCGACCGAAAATCACTTTATCAGAATGCCCGCGAGGCTATGGTGAATCCCACTTCTGATGTCGGAGATATCCGTTATTTAATTTAACCGTAGTCGAGCCAGCGAGTTCTGTTCGCCTGCGCAGTCAAATCGAATCTGTCATCACGCCACTTTTCCTGTGGCCCTTTCACCTTTTCTTACTTTTCACTCAGATGTCATTCCTAGACAATCTCAAGCTGTCTCTCTCATTCTCTCCTATTGTTGCGACAGACGAACAGACCTCACTCAGTAACACTCCTGTTACCGACTCAACTGTCATTGCGCCTGCGCGCCAGCGACACCTACAGGGCTACCAATACCTGAGCATGCCGAATAACTCTGTTGCCATAGCAACAAGCTTTCCAAATTTGCACTTAGGCCGCGCGCACACTACGAGCTGAAAGCAGAGCTGAGATAAGCGAGCTGATAATTTCAGTGCAAATTTCTAAGCTCAGCTCCGCTCTCGGTGTGCGCGCTCTCATACAAGTAGTGTGTTTGTTTCAGAGAGCTGATAAGCCGTCAGCCGTCAGCTCCGCTTTCAGCTCGTAGTGTGCGCGCGGCCTTAGCAACCAACTCGCCGACACATTTATCATTTTAAAGTATTAAGTTGAGCAAAAAAAGACTCAAAAATTGTTATAAAAATTCTGAGAAAACTTAAAATAAACAAGACTTGACAACAAACGATAGAAGCCTCGATATTACCATGAGCACTATCGATTTTTTACCACCTCTATCGTATTCCTAACAAAGTGCAGTGGTGGCATACCAACACATACATATGTGGAAGGATCCATCGCACACAATTCTCTCTGATTATGCCCATATGATACAGTAATGCAGTTTTCATTAATTAGCTACTTCATTAGAACCTTGAAAGAGTCAACTATATGTGTAATTTTGTGTAATTTTGCTTGAATTTTGCTTGGATTATTTTGGTAATACGACTACGGTCACACCGACCGTAAAAGGTAAACAAAAAAAACGGCGGCCTTTCGCGGCGTATTATTATGAATTTCTGAATTCCTCGTCGAAGTATTATTGCATAAATAAATGCAGAATCCTTTAAATTTATGTTTTTAACCTATAATGCTTAAAATTTTTTTAATTATTACAAAAAAAATAATTTTAATTAATTTTACAGCGCAAGAACCTTGCTACCGCAAAACATATTATTTTTGCTAATTTTCTAATATATTTTCAGTTCAAAAAACAAGCGAAATGATATAAAAATAAAATTCTCATTGTGAGACCATACTGTCAATGAACTGGCTAATACATTTTTCAATTACAATTTTCTTCATTAAACCCGTATTTTGTTATCGAGTATCTAGTATATAATATGTAGATCTATCGATTACCGCGGCAATGAAGTAGCTAATGCATTATTCTAATGCATTAGAGCGCCATAGAGTCGTCTTGCTCGCACTTGTGTAAAACGCTATAGCGCTGTCAAATCTTTAATGAAGTCTCTAATTAATGCGGCAGTGTCATCCCACTATTAGCAACTGCACAATTAACCCTTGGAGGCCTACACTTGTGTGTGCGAGAAAATTGAAATTACCTTTTAACTAGATTTCACACCAACAACCCAGTCTGCCTCCGGGTTTTGCTATCGTTCTCAGTGAACAATGACTTGGCATATTTTAATTAACCCATTGTGTCGCAGTTCCTGCTTCGTGCCAAACAATTATCATTTGCGACGAACGCATTCACACTTGGCCCGACAAAACAACGATGACAGTCAGCGGTTTTTAATTAACTTTACAAGCAGGCGAGGCATTTCTGCGGAAATTAAAGACTAAAAATAATAGAATTGTTGGGAAACGTTGTGGTTTGGCTTTGATTTAAGCTAGAAATTAGATAATTTAAGAGAGAAAGGGGTGGAAGGATGCTAAAAGCAAGGATTTTCATAGGTTTATTAGGTTAAAATCTTGAACTTTATTAAAGCAAGATTTATATGCTTAGCAGGTAAGTTTAAACTGGATACAACTTTAAGCAATTTCACAGGTTTAAACATTTTCCTTTAAATGGCTGTCGAGTGTCAGGACAACTTAAATATAATCAGTATGAACTAGCTCACTAATGATATAAATTAGACAATGGCAAAGTTGGGTTTCTAGGAAACTTTGCACTGCAGAAGTTCAAAATCATAAACTTATCTATTTTCTACGAAATTAGTTATTCAAGGCCATGTTAAAGACCGAGGCCAAAAATCCTTTGAAACAATTCCAAGAACTTTGTGGGTGCAACAATTTTCGTGTCTTCTCTTTTATAGTTTTTTTCTGCAATTTTTTTGTTTGCTATTCTTGGTTTCCAAAGTTTTTGTTATATGTGAAATTCTGTGTTGGCCGCAATCTAGCTCCTCAGTCCTGGCGCCTGGTGCCTGGCAAGTTCTTTGTCTGCGGTTCCAGTAATGTGTGTATGTTCTTGTGGGTGCTAAGGCAGGGTTTTTGGGGGTACCAAGGCAACTTGAAGCGTCTTAATTAGCTAATGGTTGCCTTGCTGCCGCACGGCCTTGCAGGCACGAAAAAGAGCTTAGACTGCCTCGCCGCCTCAAACTCAATTTGCCACGTAACAAATTGGCCTGATTGGCATGCAAAAAAGAGAAAAAGAAAAGAAAAAGCAGCAAGGGCCTTCCCCTTTTTTCATTTTCCTATCTGCTGCATTGATAATAATGCAAAGTCTTGGCTACTTTGTCTAAGGCATGAATGCCCTGTCAGAGGAATCACGGAAGCAGTGGAAATGCAATTTACCTGGACACTGCCTTCCTGCTGAGCCACTAATCAGCTCTGTGCAATTTGTGGCAGATCAAAGGACTCGCCCTTACACTGGGAAAGAATGGAAATACTGTAGGTAGAAAAATATTAAATAATTAAATAAGATAGCATTGAAGTCGTAGATAATCTTGTCATGAAATATATCCCTTATCATAGTCAATTTAAAATACTTATCACCCTATATATATATGATTTCCTAAGATAAATATCAATACCAAAGTATTATCTAGACACCCCATCAATTTCTTTCTCTGCATACCTACAGTCTACAGGGAAAAGTAAAAAAAAAAAAAAACAGAAAACATCTGCTAAAAGGACACTTAATGGTTTATGTAAATTTCAGCCCTCGAATGGGCTTTTGGAAAGCGACTTTTAATATGTAGCCACATAAACATTTCGCTGCCCTGTGGTTTTGTCTATGGAGCTGGCCGTATCTGCTGGCTTTTATGTAAATGCCTGGCCAACAGTGCGTATGATGTACGCATAAAATGTTTACGAGTGCCGTAATAAAATCAAATCAAAATTTAATGCTTGCCCAAGACCAGGCCAGGCCAGAAGTGGAGCGTATCCAGGAGATCCTTTTATGCCCTTGCATCCATCAAAATGTCAAATGACCTGTCCACACGAGATGGCCAGTCCATATGGATATGGTTGTACTCGTACTTGTATGCTCACTGTTGCTCTGTCTCCCACGAATTCCCCAAACAAATCCTGTTTCACTAGGACGCAACTCGGCCGGGCATCAATCAGGATACGGTGGGGATGCGCAGCATCCCGTCCAGGAATCACGATTGGCGCCGTCGAAAACTTTCTGCTAATCCATTTTACGTGCCTGCTATGAATATTCCAAGGGCAAGGACGCTCTCCAGTTCATTCGCTTCTCTGGTCGAGCATGAGAAATGAATTTACTTATCTGTAAGGGAAAATTCGTGTTTGTCTCTGCTCGCAAATACCCCGCTCCCCCGCCTGCTCTTTGGCATTTTTCCGATGGATGATTTCCTCATCCGGCGAAAATCGTCATCAAAAACCCAAAACATACAATTCCTTTTTCGTTTAATGTATGCAAAAAGGCAGGCGGAAGGTGGGGGACTTTGTTTGAAATATACTCTCCTTATAATCAGCTTAAAGGTAGGAAGGTAGTGAGCTTAATTTGAATAATAAATTTGATCAGGAACTTAAGACAAAAGGTTGGATATATCAACGAATTGCTTTGATAAATATTTAAGCATGAATCGAATTTTGTAAGAGTTTTTGTGTGTGGGTTAAGTTTTGCAGGTTGATTATTTCTGTTAAAATAGCTTATAGTTTAAGGATTTAATATTTATTGTTTGCCTCTTCTATTAAGTCAGAATTTATTTTATTTAATGAACAATACACCTTCTCTCCTAAGGAATATTTCCATTGTTTTCTTCAACAGTTATTACCTTTAACCTTTTCACTGATTTTCTTGGAAACTGCATAACACCGGAAGCCATCATTAGCACTGCTTAAGGCAAGCAGTCACTTCCTTTAAGCAGTTCTAATCGAATGTTCGTGCCAAGCAGTTATCGCAGCTCCAAGGCCATTAAAGAGAAATATGAAACCTTTCGGGCGAAATGAGATTGCTTACCAGAATGCCAACAACATTAGCGAATATGTATAGTACTTAGACGAAGGCGGTGGGGTTGGCTCCTTCCAGGGTTTATGTTGAACTTTTGCGGCGGCGGAAATTATTTCTGGAGCGGGCCCAAAATGGCCTTGAAGGCGGGCAAAGTTTGCGCCCAGGCGATGTTTTCACTCCGCCCACTTCATTCACTCATCATCAAGTCAATCAAGTTTTAATGATGCCACAATAAAGCCATCCCGCTGAATAATTTAAGAAATGTCCACGGGGCATTATTTTCTTGCCCCCTGATTTATATTGCGGCATACTTATGAGCTCAGGCGAGGGCGAAGAAATCTGAAATTTTAATTGCGAGCAATTTTCCTTAAGTGTTGTCCGGCCATAATTGGAAATTTATGAGAATTTTAATGAATGAGTACAGATTGCCGAACACGCTTCGCTTGCTTGGTTTGCACAGTTTTATTTATTGAAAAATACTTTTGGTTTTTCTTGCGGTCTTTTCTTGTTGCTTGGTAAATAGTTTTGTATTTGTTTTTTGTTTTTTGTTTTTTTTCTTGTTTCTTTGGGTTTACACATATGCATTTAATGATATGATTTCCATTTATGGATTTTCGTATTTGACTAGCTCATTATACACACATAGATATATAATACATTTACATTTACATATATATATAACTGGGTTTTTAGACCCAAGCACAGGGTCTGGTAGTTGAACTCTAAAAATACAGACAAAACAGTCGACAAGTATTTTATATCTTGTTTTTCTGTCCTGGCGTCTTTTTTTTTCTTCCTTTTTTTTATTGCCTTGGCCAGTGCTGCCAAGAAGCATCTTGAAAACGAGATAAATGAATGAAAAATAAAAATATAAAGAGTAGAAAATATTTCAAAAAAGTTAATCAGAAAAGAATTGGATTGTTTATAAACCTGAGGAATGTTTGTTTTATTATTTGCACCTTTAAAATTGGAAATAAATAAAATATTAATAAGTTTTGATAGAATAACATAAATCTCAAAGAATATCATGCCTTTGTTTGTTTAAGAATTTATCTCTTTAACAAAAAAGCTAAAAACTCTACAGCACTGGTCTTGGTATGTTTTTTTGTTGTTGTTTTTCTTTTGGGCTTTAGCCAACATTTTTCATTGTTTGTGTTTTTTTTTTTGGGGGGCTTTGCGTTCAGCCAGATTGGGGTTTAATTCATTTTCATTAGGTCCGCCCCGTGTGTCAATCTTCATCAGAAGACGAGCGCCCAAGTCCGATGTCCCTTGTCCTTTCGCCGCAGGATATACCTTGTGCCCGCCCCCTAGCTGCTGCTGCCTGAATGATGGGGATGAGATGGCCAGAACCATGCCCATTCCCAGGGCCCAGGATTCAAATTTCGTCGAGGGCAGCCTTCCCATTTTCAGTCCCGTCAGTCCTGCTTCCCTCGGTTCCTTTTTTTTTTGCCGCGTCCAGCGATTACAACAGTCTCTCCAGATCCTCGCTCTCCGCGTCACTGATAAAGGAGTCGGTGTCCGTAAAGTAGTCGTCGTCACAGCGATTCCGGCGACAGCACACCCGCCTGCCCATCTCCTCGTCGCTCCAGTGCTCAAACTCCTCCTTGTGGTGCTCCAGCAGCATTAGTGACGGAAACAAACTATCGCAGCCACTGCACCTGCGAGGTGCGAAATTTCGTTGAAGGAGATTCAGATGAAATCCAGGACAGGACAGTCGACAGGCAGTGGGGAAGAAAGTGAGCAGGTGAAAAGTGAGAGCGGCAGCTGGCTTAATTAAGTGCATTTTCCCTTACCCAAAGTGACGCTTCTTTTGCTGGTGCGACGCCAGCTGCCGGTGACAATGGAACGCTCGGTCGCACACGTTGCAGGTAAGGGATTCATCTGGAAATTATGGGGATATATGTAGGATATATACGAGCAAATGTACAGTAGGTTCTATATAATAGAGAAAATTCTTGACAATATTTATGCTTGCAATGATTACGTTTTTATAAAGAAGATTTTCTATGGCTTTTTATTAAGATCTTTTTTTGAAATTAAGTCCTTTAACGTTATTTTCACAATCAGCTTTTGTTAGCTTTCTTAAGTTTACTAACATTTTTTGTCTTTTAAGATAGTCTACTTCGTTTAAATACTTATTTAAAGCTGCTATAATTCTTAATAAAAACAAAACATAGCCTGAAAACAATTTCAGTAATTAAATTCAACGATTCCGTCTCACAACCAGCTTATATTTCTCCTTGAAAAAACCCTTTTGCTCATTAGAATAACCTCCACTGTACCTCTACCGGCTGCAGTGCCTGCCTCATCAGCTGGCCATTATGGACTCCAGACTCCGGACCTTAAGTAAAACTCACCGTAGTCATCATCATCGTCGGCCATGGCCAGGGCGTGCAGTCGACTTATTGTGTTTTCGTTAATCTCCTTCGATGTTGACGTGGCCCCCGCCAGGTCCTTTGATGTTTTGGCTTTCGCCTGGCACAGGCCCAGCTCGCAGAGGGCGCTCTCCACTTCGTAGTTGCCCTGGCAATCGGCATCCGGGCAGGCCAATAGATTCCCATTCCCGCATCCGAGTCCACCTCCTCTGCCTACTCCTCCGCCTCCTGCACTGCCGTTGACATTGACGTTGCCATTGGCTTCACCTGGTGGCTCGTTGGCATTGCCATTGCCGTTGCTACAGCAGGCACTGGAGTTTGCGTTCGCTGCCAGCATTTCAAAGTCGTCTAGCTCATCGAACGGATCATCGATTTTGTGGCCAAGTGACACGGCATCGTCAGCCTCGGCGCTGAGTCGTCCATATGCCTTCCGTGGGGGCCGCTTCACATATTTGTCTGCCGGAAAATGAAAGCAGCAAAATGAGGTGGAAAAAATGCATGAAAACTTTGCTAAACAAAAGCGTGGTTCTATTGAAAAAAAATTTTTTTTGCGAAAGTCCCAGGCGGTCCAAATTTCAAAGGAACTCAATGGGGTCGGTCTCTTTATATAAGCTTGCATATTAGGAGAATATTTATAAAAATGAATTACATTTCCCCTGAGAATGTGAAATATATAGCTAAAATAATTCTTGGAACGCCTTGAAGCTTCTTTTGTTTTATTTTTATACATTTATTAAACTAAAAACATATCATTCAAAACATGTTTAGTAAAAAATAAAGCCAGTTTAATGAGTCAGAAAAGTAAATATATTTTTATATATATTTAACATAATTTTATTTATATATAAATCTAAATTTATTTCCCCATAAAACTTAAATATAAAAGCGAGTAAAAGTGGCTAAAGTTTTAAGTGCCTTTACCTCAACATAAACCATTTGAATATATTATTTCGCAGAGAGCGGAAATTGCCATACACAACTTCTCTCAATTGCTTTATGATTGTTTTTAAATGGTTTTGTGCATGCACATACTTTTCCCGTGTAATGAATTAGTTTTTCCAGTGTATAACTTTTGTTTCCGCTTTAAGGGAAACTTTCGCTGTGCTATGGCGCAAAGCTTCGAAATTGAGAAATGTTCCTCAATGCATCAGAGAATTTATGGCGGCTTTTGTGACGCTGAAAAAAACTTTCCGCATTCTTCGTACATTTTTTGTTGTTCCTTATTTGTTTGTTGTCCTCTTGCCTGCATGTCCTTGAGTCGTGAAGTGATAAAATGAGATTTATTGGAGGCTTTTGTTTGTGTTCGGAGGGAGCGGAAAGGACAATAAATAGTTGCTGGCGGTGAGATTCTATGAAGCCTTTATTTACGGCACAAAAATGGATGGGCCCCCTTGATTTTTATGACCCACTAGACGTTCGAGCCCCCATTAGCAGCTCATTATGTGGGCTTGGCTCTGTGTGCTGGCTTTAATTGCAATTGGGTTCAACACTGCGTATACGTGACGACACGAAATTGCCAGTTCGGAGGGTTTAATCGCATTTAAATGTTCAATTAACTTAAAGTTCTGCTGACAGAGTATTTAAGTTTTATTGAGCGCTGCGAGGGTTTGACTCTTATGTGTAATCTAATGGAAAAACCCAGTTCTGTGTTTACTATGATGGAACTTAATAAAATACGAATAAGCTTAACCAAACATAATAACTTTTAAAACAGTTTTCATTGCAAATATACATATTCTTTATACCAAAAAAATTAATACATAAACTTAAATAAATATTTCCTTTTTTTCCAGATAAAAACCCACTAAATGATGTCCTTAAACAATGCTCTAGACTGATGACCTCTGAATATTTACTCGGAAATAAAAAATGATTAAGAGCTTCTGTTGCTGTTGCTTTTACTGAAAAACATAAACGACCATGAATATGAAAGTGTTTCATGTTAAAAAAGGAATAAAAAAACGCATATATGGGGGCAGACATTCGGTGGAAATGACGGATGGATGGAGCGCAAAGGCGGAAAAGAGTGCGGAAAAACCAGTGGAGTGAGATTCCGAAAAGCGCGCCAGACCGTAAGGCAAACTAAAACTCAATTTTATCGCCAAAATGCGAAACCCAGAACGGCGGCTGGCCGGAAAGTGTGGAAAACATTTAACGGAATGGGGACTGGAGCTCAGATGAATGGAAATTTATGACTTCGGACCGCCTTTAAGTTCAGTACCGCCCGGTGCCACTGACTCGTCGTGTAATCTGGCAAGATAAAAGTTTCTCTCGATTCCTACTTTAGAATTACAGCACAAATTATTACAAATGATGCCGCCCGCCGCCGGCAGCCAGATATATAAATCACGACGGGAAAGACTGCAAGCCAGCAGACAGGAGCGGCGTTATTAATACGCCAGATAAATGCCTAATAATTCTTCTCATGCTGGGCACAGGATACATTCTCCTTTACCAACTGCCAACCGTAATTTATGATACATTTTCTGTTCTGCTGTTATTATTATTTCTGATGTCTGGCCCCCCCAAACACGAACTAATGATGCCGCCGGCAGAAAACAGCCACATTTGATGGCCGGTGACCAGGACACAGAAAACCAAACAAAATTGAAAAAAAAAATATAAAACACCAACCAGACTTTCTGCAGGACCCGCAGCTAATTGGACATTGCACCTAGATTTACACAGAAATATAAGAAAATTGAAATAGAAATATTTTCAACCTTAAATAAGGTAAAGTTTGTATGGAATTTAAGGCAGAATATGATGGCTATCATATCACAAATTTGTGAATTTAAAACGGAATAAGGTTAGACTAATTTTTAATATAAAAAGGGTTTATTAAGAAACTTTTCATACAAAAACCTATCCTTAGAAACTTTCCATAAAATATTTTTTTAAATAACTAAGCTCATTATGAAATTATTATACAAATAAGCTACTTAGCTGTAATTTTTTGTTGTGCACACGCACAGATAGCCACAGACAAACGCTGACACACCCTCTCGACTAATTGCCATTGCTTGTTTTACAATTTTCCCCCGCACAGTTTCCACAAATTGAATGCACAAACGCATTATTATCAATGACAAATGGCTGTCATAATTATCGGTTAATGCCGCAGCCATATGTTGCCCAGAATTTGCATAACACATATATAAATCTCACTCTCACCCACACTGCCACCCCCTGAGTTGTCCTCCATCCCTCTTATCCTCGTGTGAACAACAATACAACAATATGTTGACAAAAGCTTAAGGGCGGCGTCTCCTTGTTGTTGTTGTTGTTTTTATTTGTTCAACTTGGCAAATGAAATTTTTTCTACGATTAAATTTCGCGCCCGGCGGGAGTGATTGGAAAAATTGTCGTTCGTGGGCGTTGCTATTAATGTCATAAATGTTTGCAAATTTGCAAAAGTGAATAATGGCCATTTATGCGATGTGCGAAAAAGGTTTTTCAATTATTGCCGTGACATTTAGCACTTTGTTTACAGTTCAGTTCCATTTCAATGGATTCATTGTGCAAACTCATTAAATATTACCCCAGATAATGTTCAGAGTCCTTGTTCATTTGTTTTTTTCCGCTGGGAAACAGCTGCTCCGAATAGTAAATCAAATTGGAGAAGCCTTTTAAGTAGACCACAAAGCACAGCTGTTGTCTTTCGCCCAAGTATGCACTGGGAAATTGTAATTAAAAAGCATAATTACAAGCACAAATATTTGGTAAGTTTTGCATTTGAGTAACGCAAATTCAATCAGCTAAAATCAATATGGCCAAAACTATGGCTTAACGAGAGTTGTTAGCAAACATAATTTAAAATTCGTGCTTAATATTTTAATTGCAATTTGCTGGTGTTTGCTTTTAATTTGCACCCTGCCATTCAGCTAATTAATTAATAACATAGAGGGTTTTTCATTTTTTATATTCTGGTGAAACGCATAGTTTTTAAGCGCTTAATTGCATTTGCATATTTGCAGCTCGGTTGATTTCACAAAAATTAAATCCCTTGGGAGGGTGGAAATAACTAGGATAATAATAATCAAAAAGGGGAAATGTTCTTCCGATATAATAGATTTATTCATCAGTCATGACTAAAAGATGTAAATGAAATATGTTTCCTTTACTTGAATCCTGAAATCATATTTCTTCTTTTGGGTAATCAGTAATTTGTGTGCCCAAAAATAGGAAATAACATATTTATATTTACTGCTAAATTATTCCAAGGGCGTAGTTCTCCGGGCTATTTTTTCGTGCATATTTTAAATCACCAAAATCCATGGATTCATGGATTTTCTGAAACGTTTTTGAGTATATATAACTTAAGGAGATGCGCTAAAGATAATCAAAAAAGAAGGAAGAAAGCACTTGGACTTTGCTTGGGAAAATCAACAAAAGCAACTAAAAATTCCGATTGCTTGCCTCCGGCATTTACCACCCCGATTTTTCTCCCTTTTCCCCCGATCCCTTTGCATTCTCCATTTTCTATCTCCTGCCATTTTCGGCGAGGGTGCGAGACTTAGCGCTTAGACAAAAGCATCCTGGGACCGAAGCCTAAAGTGTTTTATTTTCGACAGTCACATCCGCACCACGTTTTTCCCACACGCACACGGAGTCTCATTATTACGTGGGTTGTAGGGCCTCAATGTTATTTACTTTCCTAGGTTCTCCTTCAGTTTTTTTTCCCCAGTTTTTCCCTTGGCTCAGTTGTTCCCACTTTGCCATACGGCACAGATAAAGGCGAACAATATGAGTATGCAGCAAGTACAATATACATATATATTTGGCGCGTATATTCCACAAGTCATTTCGAGAATTTTAATTAACTTGTTTTGATAACAAGTGGAGGAGGGTTTGGCTTATGAATAAAGGCAAGGCCTAAACTGGAACATGTTTGGCATTACGGATTCAAGAACTTTCTCCTGCGTGGGCTAAAGGCCCGTGGAAATCTGAATAAGGTTGAAACATTGATCGGGGCAATTGACTTGATGAAAGTCATTAAATTCAAGTTCGCTAGGTTTGCCTTTTCAATTAATTAGTAACTTCCTAGAAGTGATTCTTAATCAATTTTTGATATTTTGCATATGAAAATGATGGCTTAAGGCATGTAAAGAGATAAATAAATTGTTCCTTGAAAACTAATTAAAACGAGTGTCAGCTTTCTTCCAATATTTACTTCCATTATTACAAAAATATTTCGAATTATAGTTAATTACTTAAGTAACTGAAACCAATTTGTGGCAACATTGCCTCATTATCTAATCGCATTTATTTAATTCGGGTTCCCCTAATATTCTGACCAATAAACCTCCAATCACTATATCAAGCCCAACGCTATTTATGGTTGACTCTTGCAGAAGTTTGAGACTTAATGTGATTAGTCCGCCAATTATTGATGAATTATCCTAATTGAGGGTGGACTTTTGGCGCAGCTAACGCGACTAATTGATTGCCCAGGTATCAGCGATCTGGGGTGTTTACCTTGAGTGCTGTTGCTGTGATTGCCACCGTTCGCGTTGCTCTTCGAGAAGCTGCAGTTGTTGTTGAAGGAGTTGAAGAAGTTGGCGGCGCCAGTGCGGCGTAAAATCCAAAACATGATTGCAGGATGCTGTCAAAAAAACGACGCAGTTGATATGTTGCAGCGCGGAAAACTAGGCAAACTGCATTTCCACCGACGGCATTTCAACGACGCGCGACGCTGATAAGCGGACAACAACGATAAGCGAAGTCGGGAAAGCACGAAAAAATCGGTTTTTCCACCAACGCTGGCGACCGTTTCGAGGCAAAGTCTTCAGCAAAACTAACTCGATTCGTCCTCGGCTCTCCCGTTTTATAGCCTCTCGCAGGAAAATGAGAGGGAAATGCCAAAGAGAAATTCGGCAAGAGAGCGCGAGAGTGGTATACCTTGCGTATACGTAATAACGTAACGGGCTTACGAAGGAAACAGCTCTTTTGCCGCTTTTATATTGGTAGCAACCTTTCGCTTAGCAAATGCCAAACTTGACCTTCGTCAACACTTGCATGTTGTTTGCCCGCTGGCAGCTCATAATTTGTTTTGTTTAATAAACGATTACGTATGCGCCCCGTTGACGTGCCCCAGCTGTCGCTCCTGTTCGAGCCTCTAAAACGGCCATCAATCATGCCAACCGGAAGTGGTCGCTACTTTGTTTAAAGTTTTATGTGCGTCTTATCTGGCTGCTCAATTAGACAGAGACATTTGATGACTTTTAGCTTTGGAAATAAATGGGTGTAAAGATAAGAAATGGTATCAGGATATAAGCAGGTAAAAAATTAACAGAATGCTCTAGATTTATTTAAAAATTTATAAAAATTAAGAAAATTATAGAAAAAGGATTCTGGATTAGGTGTTATTAATGAAAGAGTATATAACCCAAAGAATTCTGAATTTTTGGTAATTTTTTCTATATATATTTGTAGTATTTTCTACGAGCCTATTAACAATTTTTTTAATTGAATACTAAGATGATGTTCTTTTATGTTTTATTTATATTTTTTTTATGTTATTTTAATGTCATGTTTAAGCTATAATATAAATAAATAATTGGTAAAGATGTACATATTGGTAATAAGGTTATAGTTTTTATAAATTTAACATAGAGGTAAATAATTTCAGGAAAAAAAAGTAAAATCTTAAATAACTGGAAAAAGGGTTCTATCTCAACCTTGTTTTATTGTTTTTTTTTCCAAATTTTTTCCATCTGTGTAGCAGCCACAGAAACCAGCGGAAATGTTAAACGCTGAACTGCTGCCAGCAGCACTTGCATCCGCATCAAAGTTTCCCTTTTATGGTTAACGCTTTTCCTGTGCAAACAAAGACACGCCAGAACACGCGCCCCTTACACACCCACACCCACACACACAGTCTATTAAGTTGGCGTGTTCAAGTGCAAGTGCAAGTTCATGCCCTGCGAATTGCGAATTGTCGTGGCGATTCGTTTATTTGTTGCACGCGCGACGATCTTAAAGCGCTTTCGAAACGATTTCAAAGCTTTTTCGAAGCATTTTCAAAGCACCCACGGCTTTAATGCTTAAACCCCAGACAAGACTGTGATTTGATGACTCGGTTTTGGTTCGTCGATTCCAGTAACCCGATACTGATTGCCGGGGCTTGTGGCCATGTGCCAGGGCTTATAGGGCAGGAATTTTGACACACGCGTGGCCCCGCCGCATATAGCATACCTTTGTGCGCATAATAGAGTCGCAATTTAATATTTAATCGCCGAGTTGACGTTCAACAATTCAAATTGCCGCAAATTGTGCCCTGAACTTTTGGCATTGGCGACATTACAAATTCATGCGGAACGTGCCAAAGTCACAACGAGTCCAAATGAATCTAAATGATTCACCCGAATACGTTTGAACTTTGCTATATGTTGCGCAAACTTTTGGCCCATAAATTATGCACTATTAAAAGCTCATGCCTTATGCATGTCCTTATTGCAAAAACCGGCAAGGACCTGGCCAAGTGATACACTATAAAGAGAATATATTAAATATTGGTTTATATAAATATATATTTTATATATAAATTAAGATCTCTAAATAAAATTATATAAATATGTAACCAGGAACTATTCATCTTTAGAAAATATTAAATAGTTCAAAAGGCTCAAATGCCACCTTCATGTTATTCTTTTCAGTGTAACCACAACACACACAGCCAACAATTAGATAAATTCTCTTCGGATAAGCATGAAAATGTGCAGTCACTTATGTCCAGTTGATGCAATTAAATAGTTCGATAAATAGTTCGCATCGGAGCTCTCGATGGCTGCAATTTAGTTAGCATTTGTAATTTGATTTGGTGTCGTGAAGGGCTGTCATTGAAAAACCAATGCTTGTTAATCCTTTAATTTGGTAACTGCACATGTTGCAAATCGAAATGGTTTCCAATTCCCTTTTTGCGGTTTTCAATTAAATTAGCTAAACACAAAAACCAGTTTATAAAATCCAATTATTTAATACCAGGCCAGTCCAGGCCAGGCCACACAAAGTTCTCTCTCGACTCGAGCACATAAACAAAGCTTTGTAAAGTTGGCCAACTTGCCACAATCAATATTGATGGTAAATGGAAATTCCGTTTACTTTTGGCTACTTGAGCGACTTGGCGTAGAAGTTTCGATGCTTGAATTTAATTCGCATCACACAGCTGCAAATATACATATTGAAAATCATTGAGTTCGATGATGGATTTACCCTTATATTCACCCAATTAGAAGGAAGGCTATCAAATAGAAGGCAGCGCTGAGGAAATTGAATGCTCCAGGATTTGTGGTCAATGAGTTCTTGTAAATTGCCGTATAAAGAGGAGCAGCCACTGGGGATTAAATATGATTAATAATGAAGACTTAAGGAGAATTGTTACTTACCAAAAGGAGCAAAAGATTGCACAATGTTGCCAATTGCAAAGAGTTTGCCTGATGTTTTAATAAATAATATTAAAGGGACAATATAAAATTTAACTATTTTTCTCACCCGTATCCGAAGCTGGCACTATATTCGATATAATTGTGCGGCACATGGGTCCTTGAATAGAGCGAAAGACACCCAAGGCCACGGATAAGTACAGGTGCCACGTCAAATGAGCATATCCCCTAGCCACATTGCTAAGGATCTCCGAAACTAGAGAAAGTAAGGCCAAGGTAACCACAGACAGGCCAAAAAGCTGCAAAAAGGATTTATATTATTTAAATTTTATATTAGCTTAAAAATCCACGAGAATCTTAACCTTTCTTAGTATAAGAATCCCCAGTAGAGCTCCCAGCATCGGCACCGATTGACTCACTGTCTCGAAAATGGTAAACTCGCGCACTGTCATGTGAAACTGCTGACGCACGAACAAATACATCACAGTCATGACGCCATCTACGAGAATGTCGTCAGTTCAATCATTATTCAAAGCGTGAATAAATAATGGTTTTACCGCCAACAAAGATGGAAACAAAACCAGCCAAGGTAACCAGCCAAATGATGGAGTGAGCGTTGTTCTCTCTTCTCTTAAAGCAAGTGCTAAACATATCCTTAATGTGTTTGATGCTAAGCAATCCTGGCTCTTTAGTTTTCTCTTCAATGCCCGGTTTTTCGAGTGTCTCGTATTTGGGCGGCGGCTCATCACGCTTTTCAAGTGCCTCGGGCTTTTGATCGGAAATTGTCACAACAATTTCCTTCTCCTTTTCTGGAATTTCATCCTGATCCGGGCACATTCCCAAACTTTCCGGCAGGTAGAAAATAATAAACCAGGTAGCTAGGATAACTATTAAACAGGAGAGACTCTGGACAAAGGCGGCACTGGTGGCGGCGTACACAAAGCTGGACAGCAAAGAGCCACTGGTGAGGGCCACAAAGAGAATAAACTCCATGAAAATCATTCTGAAAGAAACATAAATAAATATTAATCCATATTACAGAAATAGTTACCCACCTGTAAGGCCTGGTATTCCTGTCCGTTGTGTCCGTCATAAAGCAGAAGGCAGCCACCGAAAATACACACATGCCGCCGAGAAGGGAGTGAGGCAGAGCGGCCAAGGTGTACCACCAGGGATTAACCATATAGTAATTGGACAGCCAGCAAATGGCAGACGACAGCAGAGAAGAAGCAGAGAAGCCTAATAAATACATGAATTTCTATATTTTATTAGTAAATAAGTTAACAAACCAAGCTCACCAATCATGGAGACTATGAGCAAAGGTTTGCGGCCATAATGATCCGACCAAGATCCTATAAACAATCCACAAATGGCCGGCACAATGCTCTCAAAAAGTGTCCGTGTTAGAAACATATTTGCCACGTATGACTGCAGTTCCGTCTCAATGGCCTGTTGATAACTCTACATTATTTCTAATTAAATTAAAATTAATTAAATTCGTTACCTGAGTTTCTGCCGTTGTGTTTTTGCTATCCAAAAGTTTGCAGTCACTTTCATTGTACTGAAATATCACCGTGCAGGTCTGATAAATCAGCTGATTACGCATGACGGTACCTAATGGGATGATCGTGCTATAGCCACTATTATACTAATTGAGAGATTTGCTCACCTGACAGCATGTGCGAGAATACCAGCATGAAAACCACCGGTTCTATGTAAAACATATTGAAGAGACGCCCCCACTCAAGGCTTTTAAGCCGGGCCAAAGAGGCTTTTTCAACCATTTTAGTTATTATTTAATTTATGAATAAGAAAGAGGTAGGGTTATCTTTCTTTATAATTATATATTTAAAAACTACTGGCTTAAACTCAGTTGCATTAGCAACTTCTGTTAGCCAGTAAATAATTACTATAATTTTGGATAATTACAGTCAAGCCCTAAAATCATTTACAATAGTTTAAATTTTATAAACTATCATTAGTTGCACACGTTGCACGTTCTGGAGTTTTTTTTATATATTTTTGATACTTGTTTATATACCTATTATATTATATATTTTATTGATTTATATATATTTATTTTTACACGTTTTTCAATATAAATTAATTAATTGATGTTCACTTTATTAAATTTAAGCCCGTTTTCATTGTTTTTACTTTATTTATTAAACTTAACAGACAAATTCATAAATTGTGTATATTTTTAAAAGTTATATATTATATTTATTTAATTACACTTGCATCACCAGTTCCAAATGGAAGATATATTTCATATGAAATCTGTTGTTCAACCTTGACTTTGTAGTTGCCACACGCCTATATTTCATCCAAACTGATTAATAATTACACTTTTAACTCCGACTTCTCGCTTGGTTGATTTTATTATTTACTCAGGCAAATGCTTAGCAAAATTCGCCACTCATTGCGAATCCGAGTTCTATTCCATTTGAGCTCCGATCACGAACTGAATTGCCAACCGGCATTCACCAACTTAAATAGGTTTTGTACAATATAAAATAATAATTAGAAGATTTTAATAGGGGAATTTTTTTCCAAGCGCTGGATAAAATCTACATTGTACGGCTTACACAAGCAATATGAGTTCCGTTCATTTGAAATTTAAATGTGTTAGGTAGATCGCAAGAAACATAACATCAACTTTGTCATGTGAACTTTTCCAAGCAGGCATAACTTCCACAATTCTTAATACAGGGCTCTGCACTTAACCCTTTTACGCTGGAAAACTTTTCTCCCTGCGGCACGCACACACACACGCGGGAATTTCGGAAAGGCGAGAGCAACTTTTCCTGTGTAAATTGCAGGCCAACACTTCCGGCAACATGTTGCCGCCATTTCACGTTCCCTTAAATCTTCACCCTTCTTCCGCAGCTCACTTCACTTCGCCCCCGCTTATTTCGCGCTTTTTATTACATCACTATTTTCCTCTTCATTGGCCTTCTTTGGCTTCAGCATAAAATATGCATAAAGATTTTCAGCTGGGAAAGCGTAGAACGTTTACCAAAATAATTTGGTAATTATTTTTGGGGTTTTCATTTGGAAAGGCAGCGAAGGGGGTTCCTTAAAATGCGTGGTGGGCTTTTATAAACTGTCTCGCATAGTTTAAATACAGTAAACAGGGCCTATATGCATATAATCTATCTAGAAGTTATCAAAATAATTTATATAGATTTTAAATTATTTTTATAAAAATTATCGTAATTGTAAAAAGGTAATGAAATATACTCAAAAGAAAATGCAATAAACTTTGAGGTTTCTATAACCTTTTTAAATATTATTATTGATTATAGGTAATATCTACTGTACTAGCAAATGTCAGACTAAAATAAATTGAAGTTTTAAATTAGTTAGAGCATAACACGCATACGCCGTGTATACCAACCCTTTCCGGACAACTTCATTGTAAACTTTTTTGCCTTTTAGCAATATTAGCATATCAAACATGTATCCTATATCCTCCAGGAGAAAGTAAGACTGTTCAGGGTAACTTACATACAAGCCGAGCAAGTTAATTGTTACGTTTTCACGCATATAAGGGATATTTGCATAAAAGTGGTTGTATACACCACTGACTTCTACTTTATTTAAGAAGAATGGTGCAAAAATTCTCCTCTGTTTCGGGCACATCACGCATACGCCGCGTATGCCCGGCTATTGTTGACAAGCTAATTGTAAACTTTTCCGCTTTGCGTTCCATTGTTCACCAAACTCGCAAAATGAAGGAAGAAAGGCGGCCGAAGCGGGGAAAAAAGGGCGGGAAAACAAAGGACCGGCGAGCCATATTAGACCGGCTGGCAGCAGATATGAATGCCCCAAAGGAGTCGCAGTTCGCAGCACAGTTCAGTTCAGGCAGCACATGCACATGGTAAGTTCAGTTCGTGCAACTATTGTCTTGGATGGCATTGCGCAACATGAAACCTTAATGGCAATGGGAAATGGAAATGGAACGGGTACAGGATTGGGGCAACTGTTTGCAATGTGTGCGGCTTTGTGTTGTTGACACAAAACCAAAGGCAACAGCAACAAATGGCATGGGGCAACTTGTGCAAACTCGGGCGAAAATTAAAAAATACAAAAAGCAAAAAAATATAAACCAAGAACAGACTATACACAGAGGCGAGGCGAGGCTTACTGGCTGGAAGGAAGGAAATACCAGCCAAAACATAAAAGGCCAGAAAAGTCGAGTAAGCCAAGCCAAAAGTGCCCCAGAGAACTGTGGAGGGCAAAAGCAATTTCTTAAACGCAGCACGTGCACAAATTCATTTCTGTTTGCCTTAATTATTTCGAGATGAAATGGCAAAAGGGACGCCAGTACACACACAAATCCTCGGCAATTGTTTAGTTTCACTTTCTCGGATGATTTATGAATGTTTTGCTTTGGCAAATCTGTTTCTGTTGGCCTCAAATGCCTGGACTAAAGAACCGCGACTTTATTGCTAGACTGTTAAAGCCCAAATGAACTTCCCTCTGGTAAGTTAAGAGGCTGGAGCATAGATATAGAAATCTGGTAGTACATACAGATTAGATAGCAACGGCTTCCACTGTTCTCCATGGTTATAAGCCTTAACCAAAGCAACCAATATTTACCAAAACATTTACAGAAATTAATTTCAATATTTTATTTGTTTAATTTATTAAACACTAAGCGAAATTATTATTAAGTTTAAAGTGTGTATGTTATTATGTCTATGGTTTTAACATTTTCAGTTTTCAAAATGGTATTTCGGACATACAAAATCTTATTTTTGATTACTTTCATACTTGTACTCTTGAGATATATTTATAAACACCTTTAAATATTCAGAAATCAAAAAATATACTATATTGAATCAAAATAAGAAAGTAGACTTTATTATAAACTAAAAATTACAGCAAAGAATATATGTTTCCGTTCCTGAAAATCATTAAAAAGGCAGCCTCAGTTGAAGTACAGATGGGCCTTATTTTTATTCGAGTTCAATTTCCTCCCTTCCCTTCGTTATCCTTTAATTTCCTTTTTGCAGGACCCGTGTAATATTAAATTATATTTTTTCTTTTGCCTGCTGGCGACAGTTTTAATTTGCCTTTTTGCCAATTAAAAAATTTAAAAATACTTTCTTTGATGCGGCACCAGCCCTTTTTTGCGTCGAGTGTCCCCTACAAGTAGGCCGGAAAGGCTTAGCGGCCTTAAAGTTTTTAAGCCGATTTAAGTCGCTGCAGCTGTTTGCCGTCGTTTGATAATAAATTTCGATTCCACCGCCGTCCTTCTGTAAAATCGATGGGAATTTTCCCAAAGGTTTTAATTGGGCTCCGGGACATTGGTCAAGGAATTTCTCAGCCACCTTTTTTTTTTTTGTGTTTTAGCGAAATGGCAGCCACAGGATTTTGCTGGCACATTGTTGAACATTTTGAGTTCGTCCGGGGCCAATTCAAAACCGTAAAGCAGGCAACTGTAGTTTGCGGTGGCATTATTTTTTGGCAGTTTTAATTGCCCGGCCGAGAGCCCTTGGCATTGGTGTTGCTGGCTGCAGCTAAAAGCACATTTCGTTATTGTGTTTGCCATAATTTTTCCGCAAATAACTCACCCGTGAAGATTATATAACTATTACGCAATTGCTGTATAAATTGTTTATATGTTTCCACCATGACTGCAGGGGGATTTTAAATAAATAAATTTGAGTATGAGGTTTTTGTAAGTTTTAGAGGTGTACATAAATATTTAAAGATCGTTCGAGTGTTGAATGATAACGTAGATGTACAATATTATTTATTGGCAGTTTCTCTGTATTTTTAAAAACTCATTAATTTTTATGTATATCAATTTGGCATTTCAAAAACCACAATTTTCTGCCAGAGACACGGTATTTTATTTACCAATTCTCGTTATATTCTTCCCTATTTGCCATAATTTGTTTTGATCCAAAGTCCAACTGTTATGCTGGTTTTCCCCATAAATTTGATACAAATTCAGTCACACACATGCGGTGTTTTTCATCGTCGCATGTTTGTTTGTTGTGGCAAATGCTCTTGACAAATTTCCGCACATCTAACAAATTTGTTATGAGGGCTCTCGCCATTTTCGGCAGGCAGCAGCCAACATGCCCAGCATCGGCGATGTATGGCCATTAGTCAGGCCAAATGGAGCGAAAACATATGGGGCTTTACTGTAACCGGATTGTAGTACTATATAGTAGAGCACTGTATTATACGGGAGTTGGAATTAATGAACTCGTGATGTAGACATGTCTCACTCGGATTGCGACCAATTTCTCATCTGTGATGGAGAAACAAAAATCCATTCTGCTGCATTCCATTCCATTTGCATGTCTGGCTGCAATTTGCCGGAATTTTGCGAAAAGTTGTATGCGAAATAACTACTTGTGCGATAAATATTTGATAAACAACATTTCTGCAGCTTTGCGGTTCAGTGACTCCGCAGGGCGTCGCAAATTGCGGCAAATTTCTCGCATTTATTTTCCATTTATAGTATGTGCTCCCGCTCACAGTGCCGCATTAAAGAAACTTTCGTAATCATAACTCTGTCTTGGAGCTTGGAGTCCCAGCCATTGTTGCTCGCTTTTCCCCCATCGAAGACTTTTCTTTGCTTTCTCTTCGCTTCGATAAGATACTCGAGGGTGTGTGTGGCCGAATGGAAAATCAATACGTATTTATGGGTTCATGTTGTGGGTGCACGTACGAAATATCACACACACCTAAGGACTGCTGCCCCAGGGAGTCCTGGAGTTCTACAGTCCTGGCCATTTGCACGTTTCGAATCATAAAATATCTGCCGAACACTGGCCGGAATGTGAAAAGAAAATAATTTTTAATAGTTGCACATGTCCTCGCCTAGCCTTTTGGGTGTGCTATTCGGAATGTGCAAAAAAATGCCAGCTGCAAACAGGTGAGGTGAGCGTTTAAAATAGGGCTGAAAGGGGAGGGTCGAGGAAAAGCCCGCACCTTTAAATTTTTGAGGATTTTTTTGTATCGTTTTTTGTTTAAGGGGGTCTTCTCATTGGGCAACTTTTTTTTTTCGATTTTTTTTTTTTTTGCATTTATTTATAGCTTGGGATGGTGTGTATATGTCCCCAAAAGGATTTTTAGAAATTCGAAATACTTTAGAAGATACGGCCTTTTTTGTAAAGCAAGATCTATGCAAAATGAGCTTTTTTCAAACTTCAAACGCGTTTATCTCGAAACCACGTTTTTCGAACTGGCGGCCATGATATCTCCAGTTCAACTGAACCGATTTTCATGAAACAAAGTGGAATCGATGCAGAATTGTCACCATTCTCGGGTGACGGAACAGATTTTTTATAAATTTTTTTTCTATTTTTTTTTACACTAAACTACAAAAAAAAAGCCCGAAATCGAAATTTTTTTTTTGAATGGCCGCCATTTTGTTTAAAAAAATTTAAAAAAAAATCTGTTCCGTCACCCGAAAATGACATCAATTCTGATTATAACCCCGTTTTTATTTTTCATTTCGGACGCTCTGGAGACCCTGAATCGTGGCCGCCAGGACGGCACCTTTTTTTTCGACCACCAAGTTTGAAGTCTCATTACTCTTTGAACAACCCTCGTATCGAGGCAAGAACAACTTTTTTAGTTACTTTGAACATTTTTGAATACAATAAATAAAAAAAGTTTTCAATTATTCTTTGCGTTTTCAAATAAGAATTTTTTTAAAAAGGGTCCAAAAAACGGCTTTTGAATGAGAAGACCCCCTTAAAGAAAACATACAGTCGGAACTTGAAATTCGTGCTGTATATTTATTTAAGAATAAAAATTCTTTTAGAAATGTTTCGAAAGTCCCAAAGAGCATACTTTAAAGGTTTTATTTTAAGTTTTTATTAAAATGTTTGTAGTAAAACACGTGAAGATAAATTTAATATATTTTCTATATTCTTGTTTTTACATCTTTGCATTTTTTGATCGCAGCTTCTACTATTTTATTATCCACAGAATGCATTATTTAGCAGCAATCATTTCCCAATATTTACACAGTCCAGCTAGCACGCAATACCTGTTTCCACAGCTTCCGCTCGCTCACCTGTCCGCTAGAGTTTGTTTCCATTGAATGTAAGCGGCTTATAAGCACCCCTTTTAAGAGTAAATTTTTCCGCGGAAAATTGAATGAAAATTGCCAGAACCTTGCCACTAAGCTTGGGCAATGGCATTGAGCAGGACTAATTTAAAATGGGTACTAAAGTTATAAATACTAATATAAGAAATGCATTACGTTTTGTTTTCCTATTTAGTTTTCGTATGAAAGAAAATATTTTCCCAAGTGTTCAAACTTTAGTAAAAAATCTCTGGCTTCAGCACTTACCAGGTGCTCAGCATCCGTTGGCAGCTCTCTTTGGAATCTAAGTTTACAACCGACGACGAACTTGGCAGCTGGCAAAGTGAAGTCCTGCAAATCAAATTCCATTGCAGTTTGCCAGTTTATGGTCCTGGATCCGGCTTCGCTTTCATTGTCTCTGCATTTCAAAGTGATTCACATTTTGATTGATTGCAATTGATACGAATCGAGTGTATACACATATGTGTGTAGTGGAAATGTTGGCGGGAGTGCAGGATTCGAAATCGGAATAGTCCCGACTGAAATATCGATTAATTCCATACCAGCATCTGTGCTCACTTGTTTAGATGAGATTGAATGGGACGGAGAGTTTGCCTTTTACATTTTCCAGAGTATCTCCCAAGGGGAGTTTCTTTAACATGATACAATACAATTACAATATAAATTGTTAAGCTTATAATAAAATATAAACCACACAACTTCATATTTTCAAGTACCCATAAATCATTTACATATAAATAAAAAAAACCGATTAAATTACATACAAACAAAGCGTTGAGATGATGATTTTATAATCGTCAACTGTAATGGGCCAATAAGTGACACATGCAGGCAATATAATACAGGTTCGAAAAAGCTTTGTAGTAAGCTGCTTAAGTGCCCTTACTTCAGAATGCAATTTAGTGCAGAAAATGGATTCGCAGTGGCACTTGTGTCTAAGCCAGATTACAATGACAGCTGATGGCTTAAAGAGAAACCAATTTAAAGTGTAATTTGAGGCCAGGAAGAAGGGGAGGTCTCGAGTCCTTTAGTTTCGTGGCAAAACTTTTGAGTTTAAGCCAAAATGCCAATGGAGCGTGGTCGCAATTTAAATTCATTTCATTCCACATGAAATCATTTAATTTAGCTTCGAATGACCTGCAAATGGAATCGAAGTAAACACTCGTCGAGTGCCTCAAGTTTGCTTAAATTTTTACGGCTTCAACACTTACCAGGTGCTCAGCTTCCATTGGCAGTGACATGGCTGCCAACAAAACGACCAGAAGATGAAATGCTTTGCAGCTGACGGAGGAAGCCCTGCAGTGCCAACTCAAATTGCACTTGTCTGTAACTGGTCCTGCTTTCATTTTCCTTTCAGCGCACTTTCAATGCAAACGAGTCCTCAAGACCTTTTCACATTTTTTTCTTTGATTGATTGCAGTTTGGTAAATAGTCTTAGTGGAGGAATCGAAATAATCGTTTGTCCATTTGGCTTGATTCTTCCCTCGCGTTGCTAAAAGTATAGTAAATTGTTAAATCAAGTAGGTAATTTCTGGGTTCCGCTAATAGAAGCTTTTACAAATTAAATTTAATTCAAGTTTTAATTGCCTTATCAATGATTTTTAACAATAGAGAGCAATGAGCCACTATCTTTTGTATTTATTTAAGGAAATAATAAACTTGTTTGGCGGCAGGAAACTACCAATAAATAAATGACGATGTTGTTTATATTTACTCATGTTACCTGAATGAGTTCACACCTCCTTAACAGTCTAACACTGCTCTTAAATAAATGAAGTGATTCATAAAAAAAATGTCTATCTTTATTACCCTTATTTGCAGATAAACAGTTTGAAGATAATATCTGCTATATATATGTACATAGGTGTATTAGCTTATGGCCAAGAAATAATTTACAGTAGCCATAGTAGTTTATATAAATTGTAATTTTTATTAGCTATAATAACAAATATGACAGACCCAATGGAGACACAAACTTGAATTTTTCTTGGAAAAAAATATACATTTCTTTAAGAAATCTATATTCCGAGCATGACTTCCCTAAAAAAAAGTAATTACTTCCGAGAAAGGTGACACAATCGGACTCCATTTCACAAAATGGTGAATAAGTTTCTTATTTTATTTAACAGTTTGAGTATTCAAGTATACTCAGAAATTATAAACAGAGAGCTATACATAATGGCAAGTAAAATAAATATATAAATACACTGGCGCAAGACCATTTGTTCGTTGAAAATATGCGATTTGATGAAACTACTGGTGGGATCTGCTGTTATAGTTAGTCGACGAGGTGGTCATCGACTGCAGCTCGGTGGTGCGCTTCTGTACATCCATCTTCATCCTTGTGGGGCAGATTAGACTTGCCCAAGCCCGTCGGTTTGCCGCGTCCAAGAGCACAAAGTACACAAACATTACAAATCCCTGCATGGTGGCCGTGATGCAGAACATATAGGAGAAGGCCACGCCCGCCTGCATGAAGGCAAAGATGCCAAAGATCCAGGTGAGTCCCAGCAGGAAGAACAGCATGATTGAGAGCTTGATCTGCTTCACCACCATCTTCCGCTCGGATTTGTGGATGCTCTGATTCAAGGAGTGCGAGATGCTGTAGAACACGTACACGAAGATCACCAGGTTGGCCACCGTGATGAGTGTCACGGGCAGGACTACTCCGAAGGTGAGGCCATATCCCGAGGGATAGCAAATTCCAGTGTCCGTGGAGAGCTGGGCAGCAGAGGGCAGGTATGAATCGGGATCTATTAGGGCCACCAGCAGAGTGGGAATCAGTGGCAATGACCAGGCCACAATCGCTGCCTTCAGAATATAATGGCTGGGCCTCTCGATGCCTATGACGGTCACGTATCGCTGGAACTGCAGGAAGGCAATGATTAGCATCCAGCTGAAGAGCACCAGGATGGAGTACTGCAAAGCTGCGCCTAGAGCCACACAGCGCTTGGTATCGCCATTGACCACCAGCTGCTCCGATATATCATCCGTGTTGAGAAACACGAAGAGCACCATCTGCAGGCACATGGCCAGGCACAGGTGCAGGAGCACCTTCGTGGAGGCCTGACTGCGCCAGCTCTTGAAGACTGCGGCCGTGAGAAAGATACCAAAGATTCCCAGAAGCGACATGCTGCAGCCCACGATCGAGATGATGTCGAGGACGCGCTCGTTCAGCGGCGTTATTAGGACCTCTTCTCCAAGGTCGTTTGTACGATAGCTACCACCCACCAGAAAGGCGAACTGGGTGAGGTGTTGGGTGTGGCACTCGATGATGGTATCCCTCAGCAGGTCCGAGCTGCTGCTGGTGGTCACTCCTTCGCTGCTCCAGGTCTTGTAGTTCCAGAAACCGCAGCCAGTGCCCAGGTTAATGGACCTCACATCGGGATCGCGAAGGTTCTCATTGCGAAGCAGAAATGGCAAAGGCAAAGGAAGGGATTTATCTGTGAGATAGAGAAAATATTAATCATAAGAAATTGGGCTTTACGTTATGCACTTACCCTCAAGTTCCGGTATGGAAATGGAGATTACTTTGCTTCGAGGCTTGCGACTGCGATCCCTTGAGGTTTCCACAAAGAGAGCGTCGTGGGCGTAGACCTTGAAGATTAAGTAAGTTACTCCCTTGGCTTTCACCGCTTGCCAAAGATTCTCAGGAAGAAAGGCCGCCGTCTCCAGGTGGGTCTCTGCCTTGACCTTCTTCAAGTCATCGGTGGAACGTAGGAAGCGATACCAGAATCCGCCAGAGGAAGACCTCCTACCATCCGCTTGAGCAGAGTAGATGGCTATGCCAGTAATCCCATCGCATCCGGGATTTGCGAAGAAAACACTAAGATTGCCTGTTATCAATACTTGGACTCCGATATCGGAGAAGTTGTAGGTTTCCACGCCAGTCGTGGCTGTGGTAGTGGCATCGCTGGTTGGATTGGGGACCACCTTTCCACATCTATCGGTGGGAACCATTTGTCCCGGCAACGCATCCATGTAGCTCTCAAAGTTGCTCAGCAGCGAGTTGGTGGCATTCAGCTCGGCGGATAGACGCAACACCTGGGTGTCGCTAGACATTATCTCCTTGCAGACACTGACCAAGTCCACGCTCACAGAGGCATCCTTCTCCTGCTGCATTAAAGTACCAAACATCTGGCCAGTTACGTGGATATCGGCGGGCAGGAGAGTCCTCTTCCGCTGACGGAACATTGTCCTCATCATTCCGGTCATCTCGCGACGTCCCTGGGTGTCATTGGTGCGCCTCCTGCCCTCCAGCACGTCATCGTGCAGGCTGTTCAAGTCACCGCTGATCGTGGGTTCCCTAAAGTGCCGCAGACAGACGACTGGTGGGTGCTCCTCCAAAGACTCCCATCGCGCTCGGAAGTTGTCCCAAAGACAGCGTCTGGTTACGGGCATTCCGTTTCTCAGGAGACAGACGTCGTGCAGAGTGGCACGTTCACCAGTTCGGGCTCTTTTCCACTTGTTCTGATGAGGTGTTTGATCATGGTTGCGCGTGATGTAATCGTGCTGGAATTCCTCCGGTTCGCAGAACATAGAGGTGCAATAGATCAGGTCACTTTCCTTTTCCTTTTCCGGAGCCATCTCGGCACAGTAAACGTAGCTTCCATTTACGTGGCACATACGCATGGATGTGGGGCAGTTGGATGAAGAGTATTGAAATCGAGATCCGTACGATTCCCTAGAGTCGTGGGTCTCGCAATTCGAGGTCAGTGTCGAGGCCACCACGAAAAGCACCAAGAACCCGGCGAAATCCATGGCGTGTGACGTATGACTCAGTAGCAACAGCTGTGTGCAGCTCTCCGACTCTTCATAAATATACCCGTACGGCAAATAATAGTACCCGTACGTCGTCCGACTCTCTCGGAATATCGCGCCTAACTGAACAATTCGATATTCGCAGACCCCCAGAAAGGTGTGTGTTATCAGTTGTTGGCACGATCGCTAATCATAAGCATTGGCGGGAACATTATGTATTTGTACGGATAACGCAGACAAACGCAGAAAAAGAAAACAACTTAAGCTTCGCGACGTTTGATACAATTTACAGTCTCATTAACACACACCCGGCAATTGAGAAAAAAATAAAAAACGGAAAGACCCCTTTTCAGGTAAACTTTAATCTTGTGACGTCGCCGTTTGTATTTCGATTTTTAAGCAATTTCACGCCTTTTTTACCGAAAATACTCTCGCTGAGTCATTACCTACGGGCTTCAGTACCCAGATAAGAAGTTAATACCTAGAAAGCATTTATGACAAACGATGTCAGCTACTTATCATTCTTATAATACACAAAGTAAGTTGGACTCGGACACGGTTCTTATTAATGGGTTGGGTTTGAAGTTTATATTGGATTCCCCGAGACCAACTTTAAATGTAAACTAAAGGAAATTTAGCTTGAGTCACCACAAGATAACGAATTTTAATATGAATTTAATTTATTATTTACAAACACTGTAAACTGTCCAACTGTTTCAACATATTTCTCTTAACAAATGTTTTTTTAATTCTGTAAATAGGTGGTCTCGTCACATTCCTTTTTCCTCTTAAAGGACAAAGTAAGTAAACATTACAAATAAGAAAAGGCTTTATTAAAGAGTTAGCTAATTGTTTAATATATACTTCAATGAATTTAAATGTATCACAACTTCCTGTTATATTTGAAAATCTGATATAAATCACATATTTGTTTATTCCACTGGCGTTTAGCTCTAAACACTTTAGCTTGCCATGTAAATATTTGTTCAAACACTCCCTGAGGCCAGTGTAAAACCAGAACATACTAATTGGAATGTCTAGCTGTGTGACATATTAATTTAAATCGCGCCGCCGCAAGGTGACAAAATTTGGCTGCTGGTTTAATAAACTCGCTTATAACAAAAAAAGGGATAAGATAACATAATGTGGATTTATGTTTAAATTTGAGAACTATTTAAATATATTTCAAATATATTTACTTATTAATTTAATTATTTATTTAAATGTATTTAAAGACTTAAATTCTTATTTATACTTCGGTTAATTAAACCTAATTTAAGGCTCTTGCCTCCCTTCCAATATTAAAATGTAAACATATATTTTAATTCGCGTAACGCTTTGACCTTGGCTGAATAAATTTCGATTATCATTTGGACAGGTTTAGCGCTTTCACAGACAGACACAGCCTCCGGTGATGTGACTGCCGCTCTGATAACTTGGCCTAATCCACCTGTATCTCGCGCTCACTTTATTGTGAGCCAGTTTTTGGGGGCCAAAATGTAATTTTTATAACCAACTTCCACAGCACGTAGTCGAAGGGCTGCGTGGGCCTGGTTTATTTCTCTGTGCGGAAATCGCCGGCTTGTTGACACGTTTTCAATTATCAATCAAATGCCGTTGACGAATTCAAATGCTAAGCCCACTCGCTTTCAGCTGGACCAATTCGCTTCCACCGGCAGCAAAAATTGATTGGCCTGCATGCGTTCAATCAAATGTGTCACATCTTGACGTGTTCGCTCTTCCCTTATTGCCACGAGGCTATTGGGATATGACAAACGTGCAGATGCCAAAAATGGATGAATATTGCACTTGAAAAAAATGCTTAGTAATTAAATTATTGAAATATTTTAGATATTTGAAATAACCGTAAAATTTTGATATGAAAAATGGAATTCCATTAGGTTTTACAGTTTATATTTTTTTTAAATATATTTTAGGAACTATATTTTTATGGCAATATTTCGTTAAATTTCTCAGTGACCAAAAACGTTTCAAAGGGAATTTTGGTAACTACTTCAGACTTAGCACTCATGCCCACAAAAATGCTTTCAATCAAATAAGTTACTGCAGTCTATGGGTGCCAACATTTTTATTGAATTGCCAATTTTTGGATGAATACTCAACAGCCTTTGATAAAATGTCCTTTAAATAGTTTTTCCATGCCAAGTCGAAAAATCATGAACAATGTTTAATTGTTAATCTATTTCTCCGAGTGTTCCTGGTCCCCCATGATATTTGGATTGTGCAATTTCTTATTTATGCCCCACCGAAAATCCAATTAGTGGCTACGCCGACAAAAGCATTACGAACTCTTTGAGCTGGAAGTCGGGTAACTTGGAACTTGGAGTCAAGCCAGTAAACTTCCTCTGGGGCAACAAGTGACTGGCTCGGTTTCGCCTTGGAAAAGTCAAGTCAAGGGGGGACCTGCAGCCAGGAAATCATTCAACAAAACTGAGAGACCTCTGCGGTCGTATGACCGCCAACGATGGCAATAAATTTTCCAGGGCCAAGCACACTGCATCAGTCGGTGTTGTTGCACTTGCCGGTTGGACAAGGTTACGGTTCAGGGGGCAAAATGTGATTAGGGTGGAGTGGATGTTTTCCAGGTTTTTTTTTTCAGGACTCAAATTGAGCCGGCAGCCAATGAGCCGTGCCGACATTAACGCACTTTTAACGACTCTCCAAAGAAGGCACGCACGCACCGTTAATATTGAGCACACATTATGTGTGTTCAATAAAAATTGACTTTAGCTTTTAAGTAGAAAAAAAAACAGCAAGAGATGTTGGTAGGGAAATACAAAGATTCGTGTATTATGAGCTACATTGTGTCATGGTATATAAAAATAAATGGAACCTTGAGATTATATAATATTTTACAAGAGGATAATATGAGGAGGGGTTTTGTGACTCTTATCTTATGATGTTTTATGTATTTATGAAAATAAAATGAAAAGTATTTACTTAAGCAAGGTGTTTTTATTAATTTTATTCTTTATTTAATTTACTAAATATTATTACTAAATCCATAATTTATGCTCCGATAACCACTCACGTTGTCACCTCTAATTTTAAGCACTTAAATGCTTCGTTGACGCCGCCACCACTCATAAAGATGCGACACGAAAAACCGGGGAAAATGGCAAAGGGAAAATCTGAAAATCAGTAGAGGGAGAAAAAAAAAATGAAAATGAAAATGGAAAAATGAGGGAAAATATGCCATATGCATATGCGCTTAAAGCCGCTACAGATGGCGACCATTAAGCTCATTACGCGCTGCCATTCTTCATTCGTGTCTTGGGTTAACAACTCGCCGGGAAACAAAGGCGGGGAACCGCAGAAACCACGTGTTAGAAGCTTGCTACAAACCCCTCCTCGGGTCGGGGCCATGTCAATTGCAGCCAGAAGAAATTCATTTTGGGCTGCGGGCAAAGTTAAATTGAATTTTTTTCCCCGAACGAGTTCGGTTCAGTTTCCTTTCCCTCAACTCGGCTCAGACAACAGGTTGCGAGGATTTAATGAAATTAGGTACTGGCGGCAGCAGCGTCTAAATAAATATCCATTGGCAAACAGGGTGATGAGAGAAAAAATATAAACAAGTAAATAGTTTAAGGGAAACACAAAATATAAGTGCTTACATTTTTGGAATGGATTTAAGCTTGGACTAATATATTTAAAATTAATATTAAAATATTGTAATGCACCCTGTTTTTTTGTTAGCCGGATTACACATTTTTTAGCTGCCTTAATTTGCAACAATTGCCAAGGCAACACAGATATATGTATATATGCGCGTGCATGCAGATTCAGCGCGAACTTTGACATGGCACATGTGGCCCAGGATGTCGCCTTCAGTTACCATCCAGTTGGCCCTGCCCAGCAGCTCCGGTTTGTGTGTGTTTTATGGCAACAACTCGGAGTAATTTAATTTAATTACCACGTCTGCTACCGCTCCGGCATCATCTAATTTCATTTTGAAGCTAGAGGCCGGGCACCAGTGGCCCAGAACACTGACACACGATGCCGTGTTTGCTCCGAGTTCTAACTGGATTAGCCCAGTGGCAACTTTCCGGCTGCAATCCCTGCAGGCTGCCGAAGATTTGCATAAGCTTCGATTAAATTGGTGACTAACATGTACGCCTGAAATGTAGAATAAGGATATTTCCATAAAATTTATGAGCAAGAAAAAATAAACGAAAATTTAAGGACAATAGAGTCACAGTTCTAAAGGATTTTCTAAAGACATTAATTTCCTTAAAGGTTTATTTTTACATTTGCTTAATTATTGCTAAATTTTATATAATAAATTTTAACTATAAAATCAAAAATAAAACCCATTTCAAATAAGCTTCTAGTCAAACTATTACCTTTAAACATATTTGTATTTATTGCTCATGAAATCCCTGGAATTTTACAACTGTCTATAATTCTATAGAAAGTCCCATATATTTCGATCTATTGGAAATCCGGAGACCGGAAATTGTCACGGAAATGAAACGGGTTGTATGCCTGGCTGGGCCTTTTCCGACTAGTCCACATTTAATTAAATAACAACAGTCCTAGTTTCTGTTCTTGACTTCGTTTCACTCACATATCTCGCGCGGCAGAAAGTTTCCAATTACGATTTTCGTTTTCCGCATTGAGTAAAAACTTTCGCCGAGGGAAAACTTTGAAAAGTCGCCGGCCAGAGCGAGTGCTTCTAATGAAAAACCACTTAGGCGAAGACAAAGAAGTCCACTTAGGACGTAGCTGCAGTCGATGGCAGGACATGTGTCCTGTCCCCCACCACTTGCCTTAATGTTGGAATAAGCGACGGCAAATCAGCTTTCAGGCTGTGGGGAAAACTTGGCTCGCTGCACATGCATTTTGTACGATGCTTAACGATGGCAAAATAGCCAAGGACATGACCCGATGTGGTGTCATGTCTACAGATTTTCAATTTGATGTGCCTACTTAAGGCCGTGTACTAAAATAAGTCCGAAAATAAACTAAAACAAACACAGATGTGTGACCAAAACAAGCCTGACTAAGGTCATAAAGTTAAACTTGGACTTTATTAGTTTACTTTTGCAGAATACAGGAATAGAAAACGAGGAAGGACTTGG